AATTCCAATTCTGAATTCTTTGTAGCCTTTTAACATTCAATCCGCTCAATCCCGGAACGCTAGATATCTCATTTATTTCCTCTTGATTTTTAACATCGGCTATGTGAAAGTAACCATCTTTAATTTCGTCTTGATTTTCGTATTCCCAGCTAGGAGGTATAGCAAATGCTAATAAACAAAAACAAGCCATGAGTATTATTATAATGCCATCGTAAGACTAAACTAAGGTCGCTTTGGACAATAACTGAAGGCTTTCGTTATCAAGTAATTATCAAGCTATAAAAATTAGATATGCTGCTAGTTTCGAAATCCGACATAGAACTAGATCAAAACTTTTCTATACCCTGTATTCGATCTTTAGTTATTATAAAATTCAAACAATTAATAAATATATTTATCAAACTATAATTGATAGATATGCTACCAGTTTCGAATTTTTAAATAAAAAACAAAGAAAAACCATTTATACCCTATATTCGATCTAGTAAAGCAATTAAGAATTATAAAATTCATAATTGTACGTATGTGATCTCTGACGAGATATCATTTTCTTGCACACCTTCTGCGGATAATTTCCCTATGGGATACTCTTTTGCGTCAGTATCCCTGACCTTCATTTGGCCAAAATCGATCGTTCTATTTCCTGCATCGACTTGAAAAATCTTCATCGTCTTATCTCTACAGTAAATCTTATAGCTTTTTTCGATTTCGTAATTTAGCTTTACTTCAAAGTAAACCTTAGATTTTTCAACTTCGACATACCATTTAGCTGTTTCGGCTATAACTTTCTCTACTTCATTCTGAGCTTTCTCTTCAAAGTAAGTTTTACTTAGCTTATGAATACTTGAAACAGCATTCAGTATATCGTTCTCGAACCCATGTATGCATACAAGTTTATCTTGATCTTGCCTTACTAACATTGTGTTATATTCTGACCAAAATTGTAACGCAAGCTCAGACCAACTACTTTCATCTACTGAATCAAAATAATCTTCTTCTGTCAACTTATGACACTTCCAAGCATCTGTAAGTTCTTCCATTTCTGATTCCATCTTAGTAATGATAGATTTATCTTTAGCGACATAAGTTACATTAAAACCAAGTTCTTTAACTGCTACGTGTTGAGTAATTTGCCACCCAAACTGTAAAGGCTTATCGACGATTACAATTTGCATCCAGCTTGCGAATTCTCGACTTCGATCTTTATATCCAATGACAAAATTAAAACAATTTAGATACGTTGCTCGCACTTAGATTATTAGCTATAAATATCTCTATAGTATCTATTAAGCTATAAACATGAGTGAAATCCATTTCATGACTTAACAACGGAATCGCGATCGATTTTTCTTCACGGGCATTAATGATTGCTAATATAGTACTAAAGCCAGATAAGCAACCGTAAGGACAAACTTGATATATACTTGAACACGATTTAGAAGAGAGTTTTCGCAAAGTTTGTGATGTATGCTCAGCATCGTTATAGTGAATAAAGTCTAAATGAGAATCAATTTTCGAATGCTTAGGGCATAAAGATGTTATATCAACGATAGCATCTGCAGCTACATCATGAATATTGCCATCATAAATATTAATACAAATAGGTGTTTCAGTGACTTCGCATCGAGCTGAAAATAATAGCTTCTTTGTACCACTAAGATTTACATGCGTAGGGGTATTTCCGGTCGATTTTGTTAACTTCTTAACGAGTTCAGCTTGCTGTTTAAGTTGCACTTCTAGTACTTTACTCGATTCTAGCGATTGCTTCATAGCACTATAAACGTTTAAGTCAGTAGGAAAGACGATAGAATAGATTTCTCGTAGGCTTCCTGTATGCTTATGAGCAAAGTCTATTGCTACTTTTATCATTTCCTTGGTAACTTCATCGATATTTAAATTAATACTTCCGGTGCCGATGATAGGTATGGCTATTGATTGCATGGATTCATTATCAGCTTTTTTTAAGCAATCTTTAATACGTTGGCTAAGCCACTAAAGCGGGCAATTAAAAATAACATATCCTTGTCAAGTTAACTGAACTAGTAATTTTTTTTCAAATAAACTAACATCATTATCTGCTGTTATTGCAGTTAACACTATATATATTCATGGCTAGCAATAATGTATTTGCCTTGTTAAAGCATCTTCTATATTGAGTATCAACTTACCGATATTGCTTTATTGGAGCTTAAAAATGCAATGTGATATACCTTCTTGCAACCAAAATACTGCCCACTTGTACAGCCAATACCATTAATTGTTAGCGATTGCAACTGACTAACACATTCTTTCTGATACGCTGCTCCTCCAGCAGCTGATAATGCTCCGGCAATTCTACCTTCTGAAAAATTATTCAAACTCATGGAACTGACAATAACATCAGCCTGAAAGTAATAAAAATATTCTCTTTACATGATATTATAGTTTCTATTCTATTTATTATTAAACTAGAGATAGCATAGCCTAAGACGAATTCTATTTTGCTACTTACAGTAGCTGCACCTTCTCGTTCAAGTCTTCCTTGTAACAATTTAATAACAACATTATTAATTTGCCTTTCAACGCTACTTGTTTGCGAAACCGATTCAGCTACATCACTAACGGCAGCACTTTTAGTCGCGGTTACTTCCTCTTGTTTAGCTGTTTGCAGAACCTCTTTCTGATCAATCATTATAGACTTTTCAATCATAGACTTACTTTCATTACTATAACATAGAACAAGAAAACCTAAATGAGGAAAATGATTTTTATCCAAAAAATTGAATGCTCAATCTACTTCTACATGTAGTAACATGAATGCAAGCTCGCAATTCCCATGTTTATTTTTATCCTACGCAAGTTGCTTCTACTGGTAATAATGTAACCCATTTCCGTATTGGCATTTCATTTTGACTATATCTTCCTCCTCTCTGAGGAAACAACGAGGCCATATTGACTTTCCTTTCTCTCACTCATTCACTTTTAATATTATTTCAATCATCATTCTATATTTATAACTGTTGTAAATCTAATACGACTAAATAATTTTTATTACTTTAATTCAACGATTAATTGAATAATATATGTACCTTTCGTCATTATCATCAGTCATGGCAATCAAGCATTGTAGTTCTCCTTGTAGGCGCTCTAATTTGGCTTTATGTTTGCTATTACTAAACAATCGCCCAATATACGAATATTTACTAATCCGACCTCCTTCTTCCGTAGTAATATTTTGTAACAGAGCTTGAACTTTGTTGCTAATAGTAGTTTTATGAATGTGGCAACACTCGATAGAAAAATTTTTACGTAGGTCCACACACCAAGAATCACTTCCTAATTTTTCTTCGATCTCAATTTGACAGTCGTATTTCGTTTCTAAAGACCGGATATCACCATGTAAATACATTCGTAAGTATTCCGTTTTCAAAACTGAAATATCGCTAATAACGAATTTGATTAATTTATAATCTTCTATTTTAGCTTCTATAGCTTGAATAACATCTTTAACAATATTACGAGGACCCATTGCTGTTATGATATAATTATTCGCATCTTTATCCACATTAGCTTCTAGTAGGATATTGCTGCATCCGGGAACATCTTCTTCAATACTAGAAAGGAGTAAACGGGTGTCTTTTGGAAAGGAGAGATTTTCACCAGTAAATTTTGTTGTTTTAGTACAGAAGAATTGCAATAGCAAGGCTTTAACTCTGTTATATACTGCCATATTCTTAGCAATGATAGATATGCAAGTATTCTCTTCAGTAGGGACGATAACGGCATCAATATTTTGATCGCTCCATTCCTTATTAAGAGTTTCAGTCGTATCTGTTTTTATAGCAAGATAATTGCATAGTCTATCAGATAAATCTTCTCTAGAATCGACCCAGTTGAAAAAATTCATTAATTCCTTCAAGATAGAACTTTGATTGCCATCGATCATTCTTGCACTCAATAAACCTCCATCTTTACCCTCTCTAAATGCGAAAGAAATTTCACAACCTTTATCACGGATTCTTTGCTCCAGATTCAATTTTTCGATAAGGATGTAAGCTTTCTTAGAGAAAGGGTACTCTTCCTCAATCATAGTCTTTGTCAATGCGGAAAATTTTGTAGAATCGTTAACATTAGTACAATGTTGTTGAACCACTTTCTGGTTGCGATTAATTCTATCATTAAGAAATAAATTCTTTGCCTGAAGTCGCCTCGAAGCCTTACTTAAATTAAAACAAGATTGGAGCGGAAATGATTGTGTATCTTCATTTGCAGAGTTCTTTTGCTTTGGTGGAAATCGAGGACGAGTTTGCTGTTCTAATACCGATCTATTACTATTATTATTTTGCTTCTCGAGAAGACTTCGGATTCGTAACATCTCATTATTCAAATATTGACTGCATTTACTTTTAAACTGAACTATTATAGGCTGACCAGTACAAATTTCAAATTGATCTAGACATATAAATGCTATTATAGCATCACTTTCTGTGAGATATGATACCTGTCTAAGAGGGGGAAAAAATAGATGGATTAAATTGGTTCAGCTTATTTTGAACAGACTCTTTACTTTTATATAGCTATATTAGTTCAACTGGCTAGGAATTTTCGCCGCTAATATTAACTATAGAACTATGCTAGTTAGCAGAAATTGAAGAAAAACTATAAAGAACATCAATAATTATAGCTAATTTTCTAATTTGTAAAGAACGATAATTATATAAAAGCTCCCTATAAACTCCTAAAACTATCCAATATTGCGTGAAGTGTTTCAAAACAACAGTTCATAAAGTTAGTTTACTGATAAGCAATAGTAATCATATATTATTACACTTGATTGGCCTGCACCATATCCAAAGATATAACGATTCCTCCTTCACTAGCCAAATGATAGAGCTCGATCTATAACATAATTATAATTATTAATTAATAGAATTTCAATTAGATGAGACAATGTCAATTTCTCACTAATCTAAATCCGACATGAAACTGTTCACCAGC